CACTCGGTCCTGGAATCCTTCAATTCTCGGGATATCCAAAGACATCTGTGTGTGCGTGTCTGTGTGTCTGTGGCTTCTTTGAATCATACAGAGTCTACGCTGATTTGGTTAAGTTTTAATTTGTCATGTTTGTTCAACTGTTGGCACACAGGCTTTGGGGACATGTGGATAAAATGTAACCAGCGTTATCTTGGTTCAAATTCCTTTTTTGTGACCGACTGCTGTCTCAATGAACCTTCACAGGGTTTTTGTTGTTTTTCTTAGTTACAGCAGAGAGTAAAATGAGCGCATCCAGGCCTCTCACACCGAGGTAGGCTGATGCCAAATTAGGTCCGCGGAGGCCTCCTTCTGGCTTCGCTGCCCACCGTGCAGAACAGATCTTCATGCACGTTGAAGACAGTCCATTAGCTCTTGGCAAGGAGAATAAAGTTTCCAAGCTGTTCTCTCTAACAAGCCCCCCCTTTCTCATGCGCAAGACCTGGCTGGAGGGGAGAGGCTCCCCTGTTTGTGGAGAAGTGGGGCCAGCTCCTTCGGCGACCGCCCTGCTGCAGCCTCGCCAATCGTTGCCCCCAGGATGCCCCTGGACTCTGATTTGGATCAGTCATTACGTTCCCAGTGCACAGCCCAGATTAAAATCTCTCCCTCCCTCTCAGGAGAGAAGGATTTTTATTTCAAAATCATGTAGTAAGGGCTTTGAAAAGTAGTTTGCAAACTTCTTTGCCTCTGGGGGAGACAAGTCCGTGCACATCTGGAATTTTCCCTCAGTGCCGTACGTGTTGCACTGACTGAGCTTCTGGGCTCCCACAATGCAGCTGAAAAGGAAACAAAGAAACTTGCCCCGTCTGTTACAGTGGAAACGTAAGCCAGGGTGACGCGGTGGAGCCAGGATTCTTGGTTCCTCGGAGGAAAATCCAGGAGATTTCTCTGATAGCCCCTAACAGAGCTGGATGTGGACTCCTTGACCTAAATGTGCTCCCAGCAAAGCCCCCTCAGGTCCGGGGGGAGCACTCTTGTGAAAGGTACTGAGGGGCCGAGGATCAATGATCACTGGCAACCAGCATTTTGGAGCCTGGTTACCACGGTAACGTTATCAGCCCCAAATGACTGTCAGGAGGTGACAAAAATCTCCTAAAATAAATGAAGCCAGAAAAGGCATATTTATAAACCTCTTACCAAACACCTATCTGTTCGCAAAGGAGAACACGTACTTTAGGCTATAGATGATACTCAAAGATCGGGAGAAATTTCATGACACAAACATTTTCTTAAATTAAAAGAATTGTTCTTCTCACCTCCTCAAAAATGACCTGTAAAAATAACTACTACAGATTTTTTAAAATAGAGAGAATTCTAAGGAATTATGGGCTTGTACACTTAGATATTCTGTAGTTGTGACATTAAAACTCTGTACTGCTCTACTGATAGCTTATTTGGAATTTGTAAAATGGCGATTGACTGGGAGTTTTCTCCTGTCTAAGTTGTACGAATTATTTCTGGCAAGCTGAGTAAATAGAGTGTGATAAAATGTGTTATGCAGTGGGAAAGGACAGTGGTCACATACGGAAGCAGGAGGACACGGTTTTCGCTTTGCTCCTGTGGAGCATCATCTCTCGCTTGCCTTTCCTCACCAACAGAACCCCAGTTTTATTTGGAGCAGCAATGTGCCCAGCAGGAAATACTCCATTTCACAGCCTCCCTTGCGGTTAGAGGTGGCCGTGCGATGGGGTTCCGGCCAATAACACACGGGCAGACGTCCCTGGAGAGGGTATTGCCGGGAGACAATTCTCCTCGGTCTCTCACATTTATGTATACCTTGCAAGCAGAAACACTGGCTGTCTTGTATTTCAGACTGTCTTCCCAAGAATGTTTGAATGGCATGCAACACCTTGGAAAACAGAGGTACTATCTCTAGAGCGAAGGGGAGGCTTGCTTAGAACCTTGGGAGACAGAAATAACGTTTACTCCAGACCAAAGGGTAGGCCTGCCTCTGCCCATTGCATAAGATTTGGGGTCCCTAAGCTCAGGCTTCCTTCCCTGTAAGGCAAGCCCCTGTGTATACAAGCATTCCTATTGGCCTCTGAATTTCGCCTGTGGGGCCTGAGGACAAGGAGAATGCCACAGATATGCTGATGCTCATGCCACTTGCCGTGTTATAATAAAGCCCATTGTCTCTGACCCAGGAGTCGCATGTCTTCTGCCAGCTTCCACGGAGCCACGACAGGCTAACTTGGCTAACTTTTCAGCTTGCAAGTAGGATGAAATCTCAGATGCTTCACAGTTCTTGACAGGATATTCTTTTCAGAATAAAAAAGGAAAGTAGGAAAAAGCTCTTTCCCCTTTGCCCGTCTCCTTTCTTCCTGCCTTGAGGGGCAGCAACCATTTGGAGACTACAAGGTGACGGCATGAGGATGAAGGTCTGTATGCTGTCGATGCAAATAATCCACAGTCAATCCATAAATCAAAATTGGGGCGAGTTTATTATAAGCCTAGTCTGAGGACTGTAGCCCGGGAGGGAGGAGGGGCAACAAAGAATGGGGTGTGCAGCATGGCTATGTACCATCTGGGAACAAAGAGCATACATGACGTATGACAGGAACATCTCTTTTGCTACTGTCACAAGATGTCGCAGGAGGTCAGTGGTCAGCAGGTCAGCGGTCACAAGATGAGCACAGCAGTAATTAATCCTTAGTTTCCAAGAAGAGATGCTTATCCTAAAGGAAATGCCGATACGGGGGGAAGCTACATCTCTATCTTTAAGGGCACCATTCCTGTCTTTAGGGCATGGTAAATGTTTAAAACAGATGTGCAATGCATGCTCAACAGGCCACGTCAGGCTCTTTTGGAAAAACAAGATCAGGCCGAATTAGTTTTATACCAAATGACTTCCCCATATACTCCAATATATCCTACTGCTTTTCATTTATTTATCAATGCTAAGGATGGCACAGCAGAAAGACGAAGAACCTGGGTCCCTGATAGAGAATTGTGTATTAGCCCTGGATTGCAAAATATGGGGCTTCCTGTCATATGAGATAAATGAGCCTCTATTTGTTTAAGTCAATATGAATTGTTTCCAAGCAAATACATTCCTGGAGTTTGTGTCAAACATAGTAGCATAGTAATTACATAACAGTAATCGTGTTAAACATGTGCAACTTAGGGCTCTAGCACGTTGCCACTTTCCTTATTTCCTTACTGATCCTATCTTTCTGTATAGGAGCATTATTGTATGTACTGTATCTCTTATAAGCTAACTCAAATCCTTTTGGGAAAGACATGTCTAAAAATCAATTCAGTGAGTACAATTTGGTCCTGGGCCAAGTGTCTCCCTGAATTTTTACAAGTTATCCTTTACGTTATCAGTCAAGAGGCAACAGAAAGAATAGGACTATCCCGTTCTACAAACTTCTACCACATGCCATGAGGTTTGTTTTGTCACCGGTGTGTATCCAGCACCCAGCACAATGGGTCAAAATATTCAGTGACCAAGTATTCATGAAAAGTCCCTATCAGTTGTGTTGGTTATGCTCAAAGAAAATTAAGATTTAACAGAGCATTTCAATACATTAGATCTGCCATTTGACTACAGTAAGTGTTTTAAGAAAAGACTACACTCAACTTCAAAGAAACAGCATCTCATCTTTGTTCCAAATGACCACAATATGCTGCTTAAGCTAACAATGGGATCAAAAGAATCTGCTGAGCCTCAAGGGCTGGTTCAATAGGACGCCAGTAGTAATAACAATTGTCATCAGAGATTAAAAGATCTTCGAGTGTCATGTACAAAAGTTATTTTTAGAACACTGGCTAAAATTTGGAACTTGGGGGCCAGACCCATGGCGCAGAGGTTAAATGCACACATTCCGCTTTGATGGCCCAGGGTTCGCCAGTTCAGATCCTGGGTGCAGACATGGCACTGCTTGCCAAGCCATGCTGTGGTAGGCGTCCCACATATAAAGTAGAGGAAGATGGGCACGGCTGTTAGCTCAGGGCCAGTCTTCCTCAAAAAAAAAAAAATTGGAACTTGTATCAAGAAGAAAAATTAACTAATACACAAGATAAGAACATAGGAGGACATTTTAGAAATTTACACCAAAAATAAGATAAACAAAAAGAGACTGTGCACAATACGATGAGTTACAAATATCCTTAGTATTAGTTTCAGTATGTTATGATTCTTAGTTTCTGTTCAAAACCTAAACTACGTGAAATTACCTATAATATGTGTCCTCAGTATGATTTCCGTTTAAAAATCTGTCAAAACCACAGTGAGATACCATTTCACACCCATTAGGATGGCTATTATTTTTAAAAAACAAAAAAATGGAAAATAGTAAGTGTTGATGACGATATAGAGAAATTAGAAACTCTGTGAGCTGCTATTGAGACTGTAAGATGGTACAGCCACTCAAAACAGTCTGTGGTTCCTCAGAAGTTAAACATAGAATTACCCTACGACACCAGTTCTACTCCTCAGTATGTACTCAAAAAACTGAAAATAGGGACTGAACCAGAAACTGGCACAGCAATGTTCATAGCAGCATTATTGACAATAGCCAAAGGTGGTAACACCCAACTGTCCATCAGCATATGAATGGATAAACAAAATGTGGTATATCCACACAGTGGGATATTATTCAGCCACGAAGAGGAATGAAGTTCTGATACATCCAACAACATGGATGAAACTTGAAAACATTATTCTAAGTGAAATAGGACAAATATTGTATTATTCCATTTATGTGAATAGGCAAATTCATAGAGACAGAAAGTAAAACAATGGTTACCAGGGGCTAGGGGCTGGGGGATGGGAAGTTACTCCTTATTGGACACAGAGTTTCTACTAGGGATGATGCAAAAGTTCTGGAAATAGATAGTGGTGACAGTTGCACAACACTGTGAATTTTACTTAATGCCACTGAATTGTACACTTAAACATGATTAAAATAGTAATTTTTAAGTTGTGCATATTTTACCACAATGAAAAAAACTCTATGAAATAAATTGAACCAAAAAGATGGGTTTTATTTGTTTGAGGAATAGCCAATAGAACAGATTTCTACATTTTGTTTGTGGCTTTGTCTGTCTTTGCTCTCTTTAGCCCTGTCTGCCTGTGCTGTGAAGCAGTGACGAGGTGCCCCCACGACACGGCCAAAGTCCTGCAGGCTGTGGGTTTGTGGGGTGTGGGCCACGTGCCTCAGGGGTCCTACGTCGTTCAGAAAGAATTCCAGCTTGGCAATTTCATTCCAGTTCTTCAACTCTCATTGTGTGTCACTGGAGCTCCCCCACTCCCACCGCTCAGGCGTATGTTGGGCCAGAATTTGTTTGTGAAAACATTATTTTAGGATTCCTTCCACTCTTATCATCTGCTTATTTTCCTTCCTGCATATTTCATAATGTAGCTTAGAAATTTCTGATTCAGCAGTTAAAATAGCCTGTGCATTAGTTATCACTTCCTTGTGACCCACTTTATATGCAATTACTCGTTCTGGCATTGAAAGTTCAGGTTTCAAAAATAATTTCTGGGACTAAAGTATGTGTCTGCGGAAAAAGCGGAGGGGAAAAGACATTCACTGACTATCTATTGGCAGCATTCAGAGGACCCCCAGAGCGGGCATCCCAAATCAGCCTAAGACTTCCCACCTCTCTCGCTCTCCTGCAAGGGCTCCCACTCACGCCCTCCCCAGTTATCCCACGTCGTCCGCCGCCCCCACTCCACTTTCCTTCCTGAGAAATGTGTCTCTGCACTGAATTCACACACACTTATGTCGGCTGCACATCCCTGTGCTCAATGCCAGGGGACACAAAGGACACCGCCAGAGTTCCTGCTCTGAGGAGGCAGGTAAGCCACGCAGTTTCTCTCCCACTCGAGTGTGCTCCAAGCCCACGAAAGGCTCGTGAGGTGCAGGTCCTGAGCCTCGGCACCAGGGAATCAGATTCCGTTGATTGGCACTTTTCACAGCTCCCCAGAGAATTCTGACTGGGATCCCAGGAACATGTGCGAAACACTGTGACGAGGCCGCAGAGCATCTTCTGAGCTGTTGTGCGGTGGCTCCACCACAGCGGGAGAACAAAGGAGAGACAGAACTGTCTGAGATGGAGCGAAGGCTTCCTGGACAAGGAGCTGTCAAAGAAGAGCTGAAACTAGACAGGTGGGAGGCACCGCGGCACTGTCACCCGCTGCCCCCCACCCCTGAGGGTGAGGGCAAGACTTTTGGTCACATTCCTCCCACTCAGGGCCTTTGCACATTTGGCGGGGGGGAGGGGTAGAGGGGGGATGCGGAGGTAGGTTGGAGGGGTTGGGGGATTGGGGAGTTGGGGAGGGAGGTGAGGGGACAGGAGACTCTGGAACAATGGCTGCACTCATCTCTGAGGGGATCCAGGTGGAGGATGCCTTTTCCTGGGGTCCCTTCGTCCACGCTGGGCCCCAGCTCCTGACCCACCTCCTACAGAGGGCCCTGGACAAGGTCCTTTCCTTCTCTAGCCTCAGGTGAGGGGTGACATTATTGCTTTGCAGGCTTGGTGCAAGAATCAAATGAACCAATGTGTGTAAAACCCTTGGTGCACAATTAAAATTCAGAACATGGTAGCTAATGGTATTATTATTCTAGATTTTTCTTTAGAATAAATTCCTAGAGGTGGGATTTCTGGAACAAGGAGTGTAAGTGTTACCAAATGGCACACATAGAAACTGTGTTGCAGCTTGTGAGTTTTATAGAATTGAGTGTCTCAATTTGACTGCCAGAGATGAGGATGCTCATTCATCTCTACCACACCAGGTACTGGGAGGATATACACCACGATATTAACAGTGTCATCGCTGGATGAGAGGGACAAAGGGTTTCCTCTATGTCCTTTTTGCTGCGTTGATAAACGGCAGCCATGATCTTCCTCCTCCTCTTCTCTCTCCTCACATAACACACACACACACCAGCTTGTTCCAGTGCCTGAAAAATCCCTTTAAATTAACACTCTCCCTCCCCCCAGGGGACTCCTATTAAAATGCAAATACATTACCTGGGAAAAGTACCACATTTGACTCAGGGACCTAGCTACGCGCCCTGTCCCAGGTTATTGATCCAATAGCCAGCTGTTATCCCCTGGCCCAGAGGAAGGACAGATGGAAGGTCTGGGGCAGGGCTGCACCCCTAGAAGGGCAAGCCCAGAATAGGAGTAGTAGCAATGGGTGGCCTGAGAGCTAGGAGGCACATCAAAAACCGTCAGATGCTCAAGATGCCACAATCCAAAGCAGTGGGCAGGTTTCCAGAGGAGCCTTGAGAGGGAAGGGCTGCCCTGCTGCCGGAAGTGGCCGTGTTCAAAGTCTGGAGGCAGAGGAAGGAACCGAGGGACCTCCTGATTCCCCTGCACAGTCCTGTGCCAGCGCGATGACAGGTGCAAGGGAAGCTCGTGACCATGGAGATGCTTGTTTGCACCTGCCTCGCCTTCTCAGCCTGTATTTAAGACCAAAAGGTTATGGTTTGTGCGAGCGAGCCCCCGGGTGCCGGTGAGTCCATCACTCTGAGAGCCAGTCCGAGGGCTCAGAGGTGGTGCCACAACCGTTGGAATAATCTGTTGGCGTGTTTTCTACATCAGAACCTTCCTTTCTTGCTTATCTTATTACGGAGCTGCATGACCTTTGACTATAGGGTCCGTCTTAGGAAACCAAAACCCTCTAACATTCTCGCCAATACCTTTTCATTGCGTGATTGGAACCTACTCTTTCGGAGAAATGCTTTGAGAGGCTGATACCTCTGAAATGCAACTTCATTGTCTGCCTTTTCCCAATTTCTCTCAATTCCAATTTGGGGCAGACATACTTTCTCCCTAGAGCTCAGAGCAGTTCCCTGCCCAACACAGAATCGAAACTTCACCTCAGAATCCAAATTTTAAGTAACGAAGAGATTTCCAGAGTCTGGGTAGAAGAGAGACATTTAGGTTGTCAAAGGGACAGAGGAAGGCTGCCATCTTGTATTTCTTACAACAAAAAATAAAGGGAGGTGGGAGGCCAAAGGGTGGGTCCGGCCAGGCTGTACCCCTCTCATGCACACTCCCTCTAACCTGACCAGCCTGTGCGTGTTCCTGTTATTGCCAACGAACCCATCTAGAAGGAAGTAATGTTGTATTCTTTCTTCAGGAGAGGGAGGGGTCGAATCAATCAAGTGTCAATCAAGTGGCAGCTAGTCAGGCCTATAGGGTTTCCTCAGAGCCCATAGTTTAGAAATTCAAATCAAGGGCGCTGATGGAGCTACGAGACTACCTGAAGCTTATCTGGAGCTGAGGGCGGGAGGCAGTCCGCTAGGAGAGGCCTGGCGCACACAGGAGGGCGGGCCGCCAGCAGCCAAGGGAGTAGACGGGGACTGGGGCACACGGGGTCTCCAAGCTGCCCCTCCACGGCTCTCCTCCTGTCACCTTCTTCGTTGCTCTCTACAGAACAAAGACTCTCCCAGAGAAAGACCGCAGCCTTCAGAGGAGGCTCCAGGTCCGGGCTCTCGCCAGGCTCTGTCCTAGAAGGGGACAGGCCCAGGCGGGCTGCTGGGCCTTCTACTTCCCGGGCGAGGACTTCAATTCATATCTGGTTATGGACGGAAGCCTTTCTCTGCCCCTTTCAATAATCCTGGAGAGAAAGGAAAGCAGTGCCCCAGGAAAGCAGGCAGGCAAACCTGGACAGGAAGTGGAGAGTGGAACGGACAGCGGCAGGGAGGGACGGGGCCACCACCGGGTGGGGCAACTCGCTGCAGGGGTGCTGGTGAGGGTGCTGGTGGGGGTAGTGGTCTTTCTGCTCACAGAGGAGATGGCACAGGGTGTCTGCAGAGCTGGGAGCATCGCTTTCTCTGGCTGAGCAGACGTTGGGCCTGGTCTACCCTGGTCCTCTTTTCTGCTCTCCCACTCGCTCCCCTCTGGGCATGTCACTACCTCTACGGATCCAACTTGTGTCAGTGCTGGGGGCTCCCTACCTTCTTCTCTGGGGTCCAGACTCATGCACCCCCGCTCCAGCCAGTCATCTCCACCAGGACGACCCACAGGCACCCCGAACCCACCCTGTCCTAAGTGAACTCTTTGTTTTTCCATCTACACACACCGTCCACCGGGATTCGCTTATCTCAGTCAATGGGGGCTCCCCAGCCCCACTCACTCAAACCGGAAGCCTCGCCCACCCCGCACCCCGTCTTGTCAATTCCCTGGGCATCACTTGGGAGGTCAGGCCACCATTACCTCTCGTGGGATCGGTGTGGCCGCCTCCTCCCCTTCCACTCTTGTCTTCCTCAAGTCCAGCCAGGGCCATCTGTCTAGCAAGTAGCTCTGCCTCCTGTTTCGAGCCCCTTTCTATGTCCTCATTCCCATGTAACACATTCAAGACCTAACCCAGGCACTGGGGGCTCACAGTTCTATTCAGAAGTGTACTTTTTAAAAAAATTACATTATGAACTATTTAAAACCCTCAAAAAGGCAGAAAGAATATAACAACACACAGGTACCCACTCCCGAAATTTAAGCCTAAAACCTTACCAGAATAGCCGAAGCTTCCTGTGGCCTCGCACATCCCATCTTCTCCCACAGAGGTAACTGCTATCCTGCATTTGTCATCATTCCTGCGATTTCTCTGTAATTTTATGTAACACGGCTCCTTTATTTCATGGTAACTTAGTGTTCTTCCTTTGAGCCTCTCTTGCGGGGTAACTTTGGATGCAGTCCAGGAAATGCCATGAGGAGGTCATCTGGACACGGTCGTCCCTCAGGCACATTCTTGGGCTCTGCAGTGTCTCCTCTCCCCACGCTGCTCTCCCACATGCGACATGGCATCTGGGGGATTCACTGGAGGGAGGGGTGCTGTCTTTTGTGACCTTACGGGTGGGTGTTGTGAGGGTAGAAGACGAGGTGCTTAAAACCATAGCATGTCCTCCAGATCCTGGGTGATTTCTGCCACAGGGTGGCTGGGAACTCCTCTGGGGTCTTGGCTGGGCCAGGGCTCAGTCATTCTCCCAGTTGGACTCAGCCTGCTCAGCATCCCCTGCCCTCTGACTCTGGGTCCTCCGCCAGTCTCCCCTCCAGCCTCTGCCGTGGGCTTTCACCATGCACACCCAGGATAGACCCTCTGACTCTCAAGTCAGCCATCTCCTATGACATATGGGACTTCTGAGTCCAGTCCACGCCCCACAGAAACTGAAGGGGGTTCAGAGAAGCCAAATTCTAGCCCTCGCTGTGCCTCATCACATGACTGTTTTACTCTGATGGGTCGGGGCAGTCTGAGAGGCATTCTCCTCTCAGATCCCAAATAGGAAGCAGGGCAAACCCCCTGGGTCTGGGTCAACCTACCTGACAAGCAGACAAGATTGTCCTTCTGCATGCTTCTTTCCTCTGGGCAGGTAGTCTCCAAAGATGACCACTGTGAACGCATCTCTCCCTGCACATGCGCACTGCTCCTCCCATCAAGAAGCTGAAGCTGCTTCCTCCCGCTAAATCAGGGCTGGCCTTGTGACTTGCTTTGATCAACAGAGTGCCGTGCAAGTGAGGTTCGGGTACTTCTGAGCCCAGACCTCACATGCACTGGCAGCTTCTCTCAACTGGAAGCCAACCACCATGTAAGAACCCAACTGCCCTGAGATCACCGTGCTCCGAGGAAGCCAGAGATAGCCACATGGAGAGGAGGGAGACAGAGAGAGAGAAACGGCAGCCAGCCCCGGCTCTTCCATTTACCCAGCCAAGGCATCAAACACGGGAGTTAAAAAGTGTTTTTGGGTGTTCCAAGCCCAGCAGATAGTCCATGAACAGAAGGACTACCCAGCTGAACTCAGCTCAGATGGCAGAATTATGAGAATGATCAAATGTTGTCGTTTTAAGCCACTAAGTTTTGGGGGTGGCTCATGATGCAGCAAGAGTTAAATGAGGCTGCATTTCTCACCACTGCCCTCCTTCAACTTCACGCCCCAACAACTCACGCCAGCTTGTGGCTCTGCACACGCCGTGCTGGGCGCACCTAAACACCTTTTTCAAACTGTAATCTCTTTGCCCACCTCTCTCCTCTGCCTGGCTAACTTCCTTTCCCCTTTTGTCTCATTTCTGTTTTTTTCCTACACACCCATGACACCTGAGGCAGGTCACTATCATTGCACCAATGACATTATATTGCAATTGTTTCCTTATGTATCTGACGCCCAAACTCGGCTTGAACTCTTCAAGGGTACGTGCTGTGTCTTCTTCAGCTTTGTGGCATCATTTTGTAAGGAACTGCAGGCAAGTCCCTTAAACCCCTTCAGCTCCATTTCCCTGGTCAGTTAGGGATTGCATTCAGCTGTCTGTAACACAAATCTGATCCCACTGGGTTAACCAAATAATGGTTTATTTTTTTCACTTAACAAGCTGAAAGTAGGCCTTCCAGGGCAGAAGCAGTGGCTTTGCAATGTCAGAATATCCCACTTTCCTTCTATCTTGCCGTTCTACCACTCTCCAGATATGGCTGTCCTCCTTGTGGTTGCCTCGAGGTCACAACATGGCTGCTCCGCCACAAGCCTCGTCCTCACATTCCAGGTAGGGAGAAGGAAGGAACAAGGAGGACCGGGCAGTGCTCCTATCAGGAAAGCAACACTTTCCCAGAAGACTTCTATTCAAGTCTCAGTGGCCAGAACCATATCATGGCCATCCATAGCTGCAGGAGAGAAATGACAAAATGTTTGCAAAATGATCAGTGTCTGCAGTAATTGCCCAGAGAGCCTAAACTTTAAACTAGAAGCGGTATCTGCTTGGGGCTGTCTCCGTGCAGGAAACAAGGAGAAAATGGGTGTTGGGTAGCAACTGGCGGTGTCTGCATCACTCCCCAACCGTAAAACAGGATGAGGACATACCTCTAGTTGGCAAAATCAAGACAGAATGTAGGCAAACTATTGTTCTTGGTACAAAGGACACAGTAAGCACTGAAGAAAAGAGATTATCTTCCTGCGTTTCCAGCTGTGGCGCATAACTGAAACAGCCCGGCGTTTTTCCTGAAGGGCAGAGAGTTAGTGGACTCGAGGCAGTGGTCCCACCTTCTTTCTGCAATTCTTCTGCAGGGAGTCTGCTTCTGATGATTAAAAGGCTTTTCTCAATAATCCATTCAACTGTCAATAAAGCCAAACAGGATTAGCATCATGGCTCTTCACTTACAACGTGCGACCCAGAAAAAGCAAGGCGCGGGGAACGAAGAGACAGATGAATAAGCCGTTTGCGTTACTTTGTGGCTACAGCGCTGCATATTTCATTTCTGATTCATGGAAAAACATCCAGCACACGGGAGTCAGCTAGATGGTGAGCGGCCTCAGACCAAGGGGTTTAGGAAGAAAGGTTCCAACATCTTAGTCACTGGGGCCCAGGAGGCTGGCCTGGAAAATGTTAGCGACAGGAAGACTCCTTTTTGCTAGGAACCTGCTCTGTGAATCTGCAACCTCTGACCCCCACAGGTTTTTGTTTGTTTGTTTGTTTGTTAAAGCAGATCATATTACATTTCTGTGTTGGTTAGAACTTTTTTTGTTTGCAAGGGAAAAGCACAAAATGGCTTATTAAAAAGTGGACATATTGGCTTGAGTGACTGAAAAATCCAACAGTAGAGTTTCAGGCACGACCGGATCCAGGTGCTCAGGAATCTCGCCGTCGCCCGGGTTCTCCCTCCGTGGTAACAAGACAGCCCCTTGCAGCCTCCTTAATTACAACCCACCAGCTCAGCAACCCCAGCAGAAAGAGGATGCCTTTTTCCCAAGGTTCCAGAAAAAGCTACAGGACTGGTCCAGCTTGGGTTACCTGCCCACCCTTGAACCAAACCCTGTGCCTAGGGGAACATGGTTCTCTCATTGGCCAGTCTGGGTCACATGCCTAAGCCTGGGGCCAGAGGGCAGGGTCAGCCCCATTCAAACCACTTAGGCTGAGAGTGGGAGCCAGGTGGTCCCCCAAAGGATCGTTGGGGGGCTCCTGCCAGCAAAACAGTGAGCCAAGGCCAGGACCACAAAAGCTCCTGGTGTCCTGTACAGATTCAGATTCCTTTAGACATCATTAAACGTCAATACCGTAATAATGCCACTGACACTTTTTTCCATCTGTCACAATCCTACTCATTTTTCAGGCTCATTTCAAACGTCAGCACAAACATATCTCCCTAATGAAATGAATTTTCCATCAGCACTTTGTTTATTTTTCTCTTGCGGCATGTGCCATTTCTTGCCATAGGTTGTGGTGACTTACACACCCGTTTGTCTCCACTCTGGTTTGGAAGAAGCTCAAGGCAGAGTCAGAGCAGCCACACCCCCCATTTCCCACCAGAGCCTGAGGATGAGGTTGAGGGATGTGAACGGGCAGGAATGAGAGGAAGGCGGGATGGTGTGACGGGAGAAGTCACATGGCTCCCTCCAGGAAGAAACGCACCCATGGCGCAAACTTGGATTTTAGAAGACAGGCTGGCTTTCCTTCTTAAGTTGTGCTGGAACCGCCTGTCTCTAACATGTGTGGTGAGACCTGGGCTGAAGCTGAAAACAGACTGAAACCCTAAGATGGCTGTAGTCTTGCAAATATCACGTCCTGAATGAATAGAGAGAGAGTTGTGAGGAGCGTTCCTCCCTTCAATAAGCAAAATGCCGACACCCCAGCCGCCTCTCACACTCTCCCAGGGCCAGTGGCTTATTGACGAGCTCAGAACTTTCCCACTGCCCCTGTCTTCACGGGGACGCCACGCACCGTGCCTTCCTGCAGCACCCTCGCTGCAGGCCTGCAGGCTCCCTTGAGTGTTTCCTGTTCAGCTCAACAGGTTTCATTATGAGAACTAATATTTGCTCACTATTAAACCGTGTTTACCCTCGTAAAAGGCAGCTCCCGAGGACTGGGATTAGGTGAGCCCAGAACAATCTCAGTGTTTATGCAAATGTGCTCGTGATTCCCACCGCCCAGCTCTCCTACGGCTCCATCGTTCTGGGCCCTCTGCCTTTGGACGTCTAACGCCTTGGTCTTCTGATTTAAAGCAAACAACCGCAAGTCCTCCGTTTGCAGTCTCCACCTGCCCGTGGTGGATGCAGGACTGAGTTCTCCTCCTACGGACGCCTCATCTTTCTGTGCAGAAATAGCCTCTGTTGACTCCTTCGTAAAGACTGACTGTTAATGATCCTAGTGAAGCTGCAGGAGTGCCTCCCTTTCTGCGGCTTCTGGGTCACATTCCTGAACCAAAAATTGAAGACTGTCAGAAAATCTGAGACGTATTGTTTCTCGAGTCTCGTCAAGCATATCATGTGGTTTGTTCCACTGCCAAGTTTCTCCCTCATAATTCTGACATGTTTGTCCCCAAACACACTCATTTCCCGTAACCAAAAGAGCGTGAGGGGGAGGAGACCTTTAGAACTCAAGAGACATAAAGATGGAAGCTCGTCACGAGAGACTTCATCTACGGTAAGAGTGAACACGAGAGTCCCTGATGTGTTCTTGGGGTGGTCGTTAGGGTCCGATGTCCTTATTTTGACCTTAGAGAAAATGCACTGTTCTTCCCCTCCCCCCCAAACACACACCAAGCTGCTCACACGGGGGAGGGCATCTTGGGAACAAAAGCAAGAATCAAGTCACATCTATCAACCAATCGGAAGCGAGCCGTTTCATCCACAAGGCAGGCTGGAGGCAGAGCTGGTGAGCACCCTTTGCCAACAGTGGAGCCCGGCGTGGATTCCCAGCGATCCGAGCCGCAGCAGACGCTCCTGGGGCAGGAGGTGCTTACCCAGGCTCAGTGCACGCCCTTCCTCTCTCTACAGGCTCCCGGACGGCGGTGGCCGAAAGGCTTCAGCTTTCAGTACACACCATTCTGATATAAATAACTGCCGCTGAGGGCCTCAGATTTGACTTCTGCAAAACTCAGGTCTTCACTTCCCCAGTGTGTGGTCAAACACACCTGTTCCTCCAAAAGCCAGCAGGCTGAATTCTCCTCAGTAAATCAGCCTCATGCATTTCTGAGGCAAGAGTCTGTACCTAGTGCATCAGCTGCACTTCTGTGCAAGATTCTCCATCACATTTCTCCAAAGACACTAACCCACAAATTCAGATATGCGATTCCTGAAATCAGAAAAAATCTTCCACACACTGTGTTCTTTAATCACTGCCTACCAGTAGGTATAAACAGTTCATTTGTAAAACATGCCTGTGCAGACAAGCCCATGTGCACTGCATGTGCACACACACACACACACACACACACTGTGTCATGTGCTACACGCAGTAGAAAATTTCATTCTTTCAGGACAGGCACCAGCCAAACCCTTAAATTGTGAAACGAAGAATGCAGGCAGCAAAACTTGTGACTTCAGGCCACTTTTGATTACATTTCTGGAGCTCGGCCAGCAGAGCCATTTCCCAGCAAACCAACTCAGACAGTTCACAGTCGCACATTCAGCTCACCAACCTACAACCCAGCTCTTTGCCAAGCTGAGGGGGGTGTTTCTCCTTGCCCTGAGCCAAGCTCCAGTCCTATAAAATCTTAGCTAAATCACAAGAGATCGGCCTTCCCAAAACTGTGTAAGGACAAAGGAAAGAGGAGGGGCGAGCAGAACAAAACAGCTTCACATTGGGAGCAACTGGAGAGTCTGCGAATGCTCAACTGATTGCACGCGAACACAGCCAGTGTGCAGGCGCGGCAAGCCAGTGCTCCATTTCAGACCCAGGAGGAGCACAATTGAGGTCAAACACACTTCTCCCATGTGTGACCCTACAACCAGTACCCCCTCAGCTGGAAAGATAGTTTCCCTCAGGTGGGTAGCTTTGCCTGAGGGAGTCATGTCTAAACCAAAAGCTGACCCTGGGGCTTTGCAACTGGGCCCCAGTCCATGCCGGGGACGAGCTCAGTGCTCGTAGTCCATTTGGGGCATCTTCTCAGATTGGGAGGAGCGGGATCCTCAGGAGGGAGGAAGCAGCTGTGGTTTTCCTGCCCCAAGAACCTGGAGCCAGAATGCAGTCAGGCTGCCCTGAGATCCAGAAGGCGGTCCTCCTCCTCTTAGACACAGAAGTCCACGAGAACCGCACCTTCCAGTTCCACAGTACGTAGTCGACGAATAAATAGTCAATGCCATTTACACACATGGCATTTTGGGTGGTAACCACTGATTTAGAACATTTGCCCCATTCAGAATCTAACTCAGACTTTACTTAGGGAAGACTCTTCTGAAGTCAAAAAAATTTTTTAATTCTTGGCAGTTTCTTAGCTCTTCGATTTTATCACCTGTCTTGAGATTTTAAAAAATAAATATTAAAAAAATCTAGGCAGCAAATGGTATAATTTTACTCATCCCCTACTTGTTAGCCTCTGTCTCTCACGCTCACAAAATAAATTCCAGACTGATTAAAAAGCCTAATGTGAAAATCAAAATAAAATGAGTATTAGAAGGAAACATAAGGGAATATTTGACAATCCTGAGATAGGGAAGGACTTGCTAAGCACGATGTAAAACCCAGAAACCATAAAGAAAAATACCCGCAGATTTGACTGCATAAAAATTTTAAACTTTGTGAAATAAAAGGCAATATAAATAAAGACTAGGAGAAAATATTTACAACAGACATAACACATAATTAACATCCAGAATAAATAGAACACATACAAATCAATAATAAAATGCAAACCACCCAATAATTAATGCACAAGGAATATTCATAGGAAATTCACAAATATAATTGGCCAGGTTGACAGAACATTGCTCATGACTCCAAAATTTCGTTTCTAGATATATACCCAACAGAAGTGTGTGCGCATGTGTTCTAAAAGACATGCAAAAGAACATTCATAGCATCATTATTTGCTAATAGCTAAAAGTTGGAAACAACCCAAATGTCAATCAATAAGTAAACTGTGGTGTATTCACTTAATGGAATATAATGAGCAATGTAAATGAATATATTACAGCTATAGGCAGGAACACGAATGACTCATAAACATAATGTTGAACGAAGGAAACCAGACACAAAAGAGTGCATGTGGTATGATTCCATTTATATGAAGTTCAAAACCAGGCAGGACTGATCTCTGGGGTTAGATGTCAGGATGGGGATTACTCTGGGGGAGGTGGGAAAAGGTCTGATAAAACTCTATTTCTTGACCTGGGTGGCGCTTATGAGAGGAGTTCACCTTGTGTTAATTCAGTCAGCAGCACACTTAAGACTTGTGTATCTTTGCTGTATTTATACACCTCAAGAAAAAAGTTCAAAAAAATCCAAATGGTCAATAGGCATAGGAAAAGATGCACAACCTAATGGGTAAATCAGAGAAATGCAATTTTAAATGGCATAGTTTTTTCTGTGTATGATGCTGGCAATTTTTTAAAAAAAATCAATAATGTCCGGTGTTGATGAGTATGATGGTGGCTATGTAAACTGGAGCAGAATTTTTGGAGAGAATCTTGGTATTATTTAACAAAAATTCAAATGTGCATGCCCTTTGGTCCAGAAATTCCACTTCTGGGAATGCATCCTTCAGAAATATTTATACGTATACACAAAAAACTTGCCTATGAGAATGTTTGCTGTAGGACTGTTTGTAATGGTGAAAAATGGAAAACCAGCCATGTGTCCCTCAATAGACTAGGAGGTGAAGAAACTGATCCGGCTGTGCAGTCTGGAAACGGGCGAGCCTCTATGTACTGACACGGAAAGAGCTCCAGGAGCCTGTTAAGCGAAAAACAGTAAGTCCCAAACAGAACATGTCGTATGATGCTGTCTATGTATAAATGACCCGAATGTAAACTGTAAAAACCACAAAAATTTTGGAAACAAGAAAACAAAACGAAAATCTCGTGCAGCTCATTTATCTAAATATTTTACAAATCCTGTCACAGAATAAAGTTAACTTCTCTCTTGAGATAGAATGCACAGTGTAAGCATTCTCCGGGACGGTCTCTGCCCCAGACCCAGAAAGGCTGCCCCTCACTGGAAGGAGCCGCGGTTGTTCCGCAGCCTCCCGGAAGAGCCTCAGCATCTCAGAAATGCCAGCTCCCACACAGGCCCAAGCAAGGGCACACGGAGTCTCCCAGACCTTGTGCTTCTGAAGCACTTTTCAATAATTAACAAATCCGCCTAAAGGGTGGGGCGGGCCTGGCTCCCACAGACTGGGCACTCCCTCTGCCAGCTGCCCTCCTCTGGAATGCAAAAACATCCCTAGGAATGGCTGTTGCTGGCCGCTGCCCTCCCTCAGCCCCCAGACTCGGGGAAGGTGAGGCCGGCCACACCCAGGACAAGGCAACGACTTCCTCTCTCAGGATGTTCTCCAGGAAGAGTTTACGATTCTCTACTCTTCTGGTCCCACCTCTGCCTGTCCCCTCCCACCATCTTCCTCCGGAGTCTGAGGAAGAATATTGCAACAGGCAGCGGGAGAGATAACATCTTAATACTGTCAGTTTCAACTCTGCCTTTTCTTGCTCAACTGATCCTATGAGCAACAGAAAAATGTATACAACTTTCAATTTCTTACTGGACAAATAAAATTAATTGCAGGAGCAGTCTCTGTTACAATATTTCAAATGATTGGCATCTGGAGCAAAGGTTTGTAGATCTACAAAAAATACACACTTAGCTCTACGAAATATACACACGTATTTCACACAGAGGGTGACCATTTCCTCACAGGCTGGGAGCAGTCCCCTTGGAAAGGCCGCCAGAGATTAAATCACAAGTTTTCAAACCTGAATATGCCAGAAAAAGACAAGAAGGCATTAAAAAAATATGGCTTCCAGGTTCCCATCCCACGTGTACTGCATCAGCCTCTTCAAGAGTGGGGCTGTGGCATGTGTATTTAAAATTTTTTTTCACTGTGGTAAAATATACACAATATAAAATTTACCTTTTTAGCCATTTCTGAGTGTACAATTCAGTGGCATTAAGTACATTCACAATGTTGTGCCATCATCACCACTACCCATTTCCTAAAACTTTTTCATCATCCCAAACAGAAACTCTGTAACCATCAACATGACTCCCCATTCCCACCCCACCCAGCCCTTGGTAACCTCTGGCCTGCTTTCTAGGTACTTCATATAAATGGAATCACACAATATTTGTCCTTTTGTGTTTGTCTTATTTCTCTTAGCATAATGTTTTCCAGGTTCATTTATGTTATAACGTGTATTCGAATTTCATTCCTTTTTATGGCTAAATAATACTCCGTTATGTGTACATACCACATTTTGTTTATCCATTCGTCTGATGGTGAACATTTGGGTTCTTTCTACCTTTTGGCTTTTGCAAATAATATTGCTGTGAACATTGTTGTACAAGTTTCTATTTCAGTCTCTGCTTTCAGTTCTTTTGGGTATATATCAAGGAGTGGAATTGCTGGATCATATGGTACTTCTATGTTTAATTTTTTGAGGAACCATCAAACTGCACCATTTTACGTTCCCTCCAGCAATGCACAAGAGTTCCAATTTCTCTACAACTTTGCCAACACTTGTTATTTTCTGGGGTTTTTTTGGTAATAGCTATCCTAAAGGGTGTGAAGTGGTATCTCTTTATGGTTTTGACTTGCTTTTTCTTAGTGACTAATGATGTTGAGTGTCTTTTCATGCTTACTGGATTATTGGCCATATGTATATCTTTGGAGAAATGCCCATTCAAGTCCCTTGCCCATTTTTGAATTAGGTTGTTTTGGGTTTGTTGTTGTTGAATTATAGGAGTTTTTAATATATTCTGAATATTAGTCCCTTATCAGATATTTGAGTTGCAAATATTTTCTCCCATTCTGTGAGTTGTCTTTTCACTCTCTTGATAGTGTCCTTTGATGTCCTAGAGTTTCTATTTTTGTTGAAGCCCAATTTGCCTATTGCTTTTCTTTTCTTGCCTGTGCTTTTGGTATCATATCCGAGAAATTATTACAAAATCCAATGTCATGAAGACTTTCTCCTGTGTTTTCTTCTAAGATTTTTATAGTTTAGCTATTAAGTTTAGGTCTTTGGTCCATTTTGAGTTGAGTCTTGTATATGGTATAAGGTAAAGGTCCAAATTTATTCTTTTGCATGTGGATATCCAGTTTTCCCAGCACCATTTGTTGAAAAAAATTGAATGGTCTTGGTGCCTTTGTCAAAAATCATTTGATCATATAAGTAAAGGCTTGTTTCTGGGCTCTCTATTCCATTCCATTGGTCTGCACCTCTGTCTTTATGCCAGACCCATGCTGCTTTGATTACTGTAGCTTTGTAGTAAGTTTTGAAATCAGGAAGTGTGAAACCTCCAACTTTGTTCTTCTTTTCAAAGATTGTTTTGACTATTCCAGGTTTTTTGAGATTCTATTTGAATTTTATGAGTTTTCCTATTCTGCAAAACAGAATGTTCTTGAGATTTCGATAGAGATTGCATTTAATATGTAGAGCAATTTGGTAGTATTTTCATCCTAAAAATGGTAAATCTTCCAATACATGAACCCAGGATGTCTTTCCATTTATTTATGTCTTCTTTAATTTCTTTCAGCAATGTTTTGGAATTTTCAGTGTACAACTTTTAGCCTCCTTGTTTAAAAATTTATTCCTAAGTATTGTATCCTTTTTGACATCATGGTAAATGGAATCATTTTCTTAATTTCCATTTCAGATTTTTCATTGCTAGTGTATAGAAATGTAACTGACTTTTGCATGTTATTTTGAATCCTGCAACTGCTGAGTTCATTTATTAGCTGTAACTGTTTCGTGTGTGTGTGTGTATAATCTTTACAGTTTTCTGTGTATAAGATCACATCACCTGTAAACAGAGATGATTTTACTTCTTCCTTTCCAATTTGGACGTCTTTTATTTCTTTCTATTATCTAAGCACATTGGCTAGACATTCCAACATTATGTTGAGTAGAAGTGGGCATCCTTGTTTTTTCCTGATCTTAGGAGAAAAACTTTCAGTCTTTCACCGTTGAGTATGGTGTTAGCTGTGGGTTTTTCATAGATGGCCTCTATCATGTTGAGGAAATTTCCTTCTATTCCTAGTTTATTGTCATTAAGTGTTGAATTTTGTCAAATGCTTTTTCAGCATCAGTTGAAATGATCATGTGGGTTTCTTTCTTCATTCTATTAATGTGGTATAGTACATTGAGTTTCCTATGTTAAACTATCCTTGATTTCCAGGAGTAAATTCCATTTGGTCATGGTATACACTCCTTTTAATATGTTGCTGAATTTGATTTGCTAGTATTTTTGTCTTGGTCTGTAGTTTTCTTTCCTTTTGTATCTTTTTCTGGCTTTGACATCAGGGTAACTCTGGCCTCATGGAATGAGCTAAGAAGTGATCCTTTTTCTTCCATTTTTGGGAAGAATTTGAGAAGAAATGGTGTTAATTCTTCTTTAAATTTTTGGTAGAATGCACCAGTAAAGCCATCTGGTCCTGGAATATGTATTTCTAAGCCAACTTCTCCCCTTCCCCTTGCTCCCATGATTCTGAAATACAGTTGGGTTTGGGACCCACTACCCAAAATATCTGATTTGAATACCCTGGGGTATAACTCTTGATAAACTAGTAATACTGCCTTTTAAAAAAGAGAAAGAAAAGTTTGGGTTAAGAAGTGTAAGCAAGATATCCAGGTCTAGAAGTGCTTGCAGGTTGGAAATAGGACACAGGGGTGAGCCAGCGCTGAGAAGGAGGAGAGCATTGATTGACAGCCTCGAGGAGCCAGGGCTCCACCCTTCACCTGACCACAGCTGCTTCCACTCAGCCGGATTCTCCCCATAGTCATACCGCCATGTGGCTCCGTCTGGAGCCACTAGAACTCCAGCAAGTCCTCAGTCTGAAACAGGGCGAAGGGAGGAGGTGTTCCATGGACAGGGCTCCTCACGGGAGTCAGGTGGCCAGGGCCAGAGCTCTGATGGGCCGAGCGGATGGTGCTGCAGCAGGAAAGAGGAAGCTTCTTGGCCAAATTGATTAATGTGAGGCTATTCTCACTAAAATATTTTCTTCATCTACTCATGCAGAAAGATCACGGACGATGGAAAAGCGTCATAAAACTTGTAATTAAACAGAAAAGCTGTTTTCCACAGGTTCCTTTGCCTTTTCAACTCAGCCTCTCTTCTCCCCACCCCCATCCTTCTTCAGGCACTAATCTGTGTTTCCAGTAAAAACTTGCTGGGTCACTTGTGCAGAAAGAGGAATTAATTTAATATTTGAAGACTCAGCTGACTGGTTCTCCTTGGGAGCAAGTAGCCAAGTAAATATCCAAGACAAGACAAGAAAAGGAAGAAATGGCGCCAAGCCTGGATGAAAAGTTCCTCAATCATCCTGCAACCCCTAGACAAAGAACATGGAGCCACATCCTCTCTCCCGGTGAGTCACCGCCTCCCACACCCAGCAGGGTGTAGACACGTTTTACTGAAACCTGAATCAAGTAGTCAGAACAAGTCAAGCAGGTTCAACCTTCCCCTCCGTCAGTGAGATAAATGCTCAACCTGCTTCAAGACGGAAGGAGGGCAGAAGGAGGGTTTGCAGCAAGACGCGGTGTCACAGAATCCCACAGATATTTCCATCTATAAACACAGAAGGGCACGGAAGCTCTGAACACAGAGTCTTCGTTTGTTTTGTCTTCCAGGAGGAGCATTTCTATAGAGCTGGTGACCTTGAATCGATGAGAAAAGGCCATTTGGAAGATCTGAGTTTCTTCTTCAAAATCCAAGACGTAGTAAATACACAAACACTTGTAATGTTACTATTTCTCTTTTTCCCCTTCCACCTCCTGCCCCTGAGATGGAGAAGAAAAAGTGATAACAGCATCCCAGAAATCCAGAACTGCCTCAGAGACCAAGGCCTAAAAGAGATCGTAACATCAGCGAGGAAGCCTGTGACTAAAAGTTCAAAACTTAAGACCTAATGCTCAAATAATCTGAGCCACTGCTCCATCAGGAACCTCATTCCTCAAGATGGAGAGGGGCTAGTGAAACCCTCATGGGTCTGTCAAGGAACGAATTTACCTACGAGGCTGCTGCAGCCCGAGCTCTCGTCATGACGAGCACGGAGCATCCTCTGCCTCTTTATATAAATAGAGAATGTCCAGACAAATTTGTACTAGGTCATTTCATCATTATTATGATGGTTATTGTCCATAAACGCTTATTAGCTGTCCACTTGGCCAGCACTGACCTGACCAGACCCACGTCAACTCCCCTGAATCGTTGTTGGATGAAGAACATATCCAAGAGTGCTGCTTCCTCGCTTTCCAGAATTACACTCTTGGCAATATCTATATAGATGCATGCTGCTCTTGACACAAGCTTTCGTTGTAAATAGGCACTAAAATAGAGGCTGATCATTAGCTCTCTGGGGAGACAAATGTGTGGTAGAGCCAACTCAGCAGGAGAAATGTCATGGCAGGTATTGAAGAAACACCGCATGGAAGATGCGTGACACAAAGATGTTTGGAAGACAGTTGAAGTTGAAGACAAGAGAGTCCTGTCACTGCAGACCTTGCCAGTGACAATTTCCATACATCTCAGCACGTGGTTCTCAGAGCGTACTTGCAATTATCTGACACCGTTCAGTCCTGGACAGCTGAGCTGGCTGGAATGTAAGAGACACCGAACTGGTCAGATCGTAGCCCTGGGAGGGCAGCACTGTATCCAGTCGTGTCTGTGTCTCCACCCCGGGCCAGCCCCTGGCCCTATGATGGGCTTTCAGTTTGTGTTCCTTGACTCACATCCTTCCAGACTTCCCCATCTGTTACGTTCTTGACCTTTTGACATCTAAATCTAAGACTAGAAGTCAACATCAAACCTTCAGGTCTCTAACTTTCAAGACCCCTGCCATTGTGTATAGAACTAGCCTTGAGGGGCTGGCCCCGTGGCCTAGTGGTTAAGTTTGTGCACTCCGCTTCGGCGGCCCAGGGTTCGGATCCTGGGCGTGGACATGGCACCGCTCATTAGGCCATGTTCAGGTGGCGTCCCACATGCCACAACCGGAAAGACCCACAACTAAAATATACAATTATGTACTGGGGGGATTTAGGGAGGGAAAAAAAAAAGAAGAAGAAGAAGATTGGCAACAGTTGTCAGCTCAGGTGCCAATCTTTAAAAAAAAAAGAACTAGCCTTGATACAGAAGGAGTAGAGAGGATGCTTGTTGACTTCTGCTGTGCCCTCGTCTGAGCTTGGCTTGCTCAGATGAAGTTCAGGCTGCCCGGCCTTGTTTTCAGAACGTTCCTCCCTTCCCTGAGGACTGAGACAGGTAACGTGGCTCCAGGACTTGGGCCCTGGCCCTGCCATCGTCCACCTTGGCAACCCTCCTTTTCACTTGGTGCCAACTCTTCTGCTACTTGCATCTTTGGATACCGTCTCTAGCCAGTTTAACTCAGATAACCTGCTAAACTATTTTCCCTGCTCAGATTATTAAAATAGAAGTGATGGTGGACTTGAGTCTTGGTTAAGCTTTAAGTTTTTGCCATCCATTACAGTCTACGTTGGTCCATGGGATGAAGATGGAGGTGCCCCCGGGGTAGCTAAGGGCTGCACTGGGAAATCCATATGCTCTCCAGGAATATTTCTTCTTTCCCCAAAATACATGAGGTTGTGTTTGCACCAGGGATAGAGCGGGATTTTCAGGGCACGAATCTGATGGGAAGGATGAGGTTCAACAAAACTGTCTGTAGAGCAGACGAACAATCCTATCCAGTCCTCCTTACCTCGTTTCCTCAAAGCAGGACAAGCCTTAGGCAGATTTTAATAGCTGCAGAGTTTTGGTGATCACAGGATCTTTCGTCTGGTATCGTTATCACAGCGTGATTTCCAAGTCCGCCTGGGTGCAGCATTTTATTCCTCACAGAACCCGTGGTCATAAGGGGGCATCCATGCGATCCCCAAATTTCAAGGAGGTCACGGTTTATTCTGTAAAATCAGTAAACAGACAGGTAAGTATGGAATACTCTAAAACCTGCTCAGAGGATTTTAACATACAGACAAACAAGTCAAGGTGGTTTGAATATTTTTCAATCCAGCAAGGAGTGGAACAGCAAGAAGGGTGTAGGGCCCTTTGGCGAAGACAATGCTGGCAGGAGGAGCTCTCCTGAAGTCACCTGCGATGACTGCTCCCCGGTGCCATGCATTTCCTTTATTTTGTCTTCAAGACTCCCACCCTGAGGAGAGCTCTCAAGGGCTGCATAGAATGCGCCCTGAAGACATTGCTGCACTCATCGTGACCCCACCTTCTGAAAATGAGCCACATTTCTAGTAGTTCGGTGGCAGGAGAGAAATTACGCACCCCCTCCTGTCACTCCAAGAGGAGTGCTGGAGCAAACATAACCCACCAGGCGTGGCATCGCTGCACTGAGCTGGGCACACCCACAGCTGGGGAGGATTTCACGGCAGGCTGTGGGAGGTGGTGAGCGGGGCTCCAGGTTTGCTGGGAAGCATGAATCACAGAACTGCTGTTCTTCAGAAGCTACCACATTGTAAGCAAAGAGCTGATAATTATGTCAATGAACATTCTACTCTCTCTTTACTGCACTGATCTGTTCGCTTACAAAACTAAAACTTCTAGGTTTTTTTCCCAAAGGCCATATACTTCTGAAAAAGTTTCACTAAAAAGGAAACCTTGGAGTGGAGAAAGAATTTTATTTTCATAAAGTTTTTATTAACAGGTGTTCCTTCATCATGTTTAATGAGATAGATTACTCAGTTAATTACTTTTATAAAATTAAAAGGCAATATGTAAGAGGGAAACTGCAATAAAGCAAGCAAAACTACAGATTGTGGTAAAAGTAGCTGTGATGGTGGTAAATTTCAGCAAATTGGAAAAGTCTCTTTTGATTCCCCTCCAGCCAGCCTTTATCAAGTACCCTTATGTGCCGAACACCATGCCAGATGCGTGGGGAGTACAAGGAGGCAGTGTAGAACATGGCCTGTGCCCTCAGGGCATTCTTAGTTTGATTGGAAAGAGCAGTGATATGTAGACAGAGATACAAAAATCAACAGTTCTAGGACGTGAGTATTGTGATGGTCAAGAGTGCAGACCTGGAGCCAGATTGCCTCCGGAGAATGCCAGCTCGACCACTCCAGGCCAGGACTGGAGCAAGATGCTCACCTCAGCACACAGTTTGAGAGGGTGCCCAAATCAACCTTGGAATCACAATAAATAACAGTTTAAAAAATCAAAATTAATGCAAAGAATTCACGACGCACAAAATAGCAGAAGTTTAAATAAAGGCAGGCTGCAACGATGCTGTGCCGTCACGTTGAAGCCTCAGGCAAAAGGAAGAGAGTGCGATCCTATATACATGTTTCAGTGTATTTTTGACGGTTAATTTTTTTCCGGGACGTTAACGTAGTTGAGAAAGTAGCGAAAACTGAAAAGTAGATGTATTAAAACTCCCATTATTTTAAGCTTAAATATTTTATTTTTACCCCAAACAGAATTTGTTACAATTATACGTCTCTGAAAGCAAACTCATCACTTACCAGCTTCGTAATCCTGGATGAGCTCCTCAACTTCTGTGTCTTAGTTTCCTCTTCTGTAAGTGCGACCTCACAGGGATGGTGTGAAGATTAAATGAGTTATTATGTGTTGAGCGCTTACAACAGGCCCAGCCCCAGCAAATTCTCTTCAAGGGGAGCCATTGTTAGTGCTGTGTCTTTATTATATAGACAATGAAAGTTGTAGAAGATCAGAGACGAGAGATCAGTTTTAGCTGAGATGATTCGTCTCTCGTTGTCCGATATAGCTCCCACAGGAACCGCTGTATACGCTCGTCTAGAATAGGTCGAGTCCCCTAAGTGGCACTTGATACATATTTATTTATTGAATGAAAGGTAATCAGAAGATGCTTCACAGGGAAGACGGGATTTGAGCTGGTTGGCCTTGGATAAATAATAGCAATAAAAGGAGCCGGTGAGGGAGGGCGTAATGACTTTGAGAGGACTGACTTTGAATTACTAGTCATACACCCAATTGGAAATATCCGTCAGTCATACGGAAATGTGAGATTAGCACTTGGAAGAGAGACAGAGCCAAAATGTAAATCTGGGCATAATGCACCTGGTCATGACAGGAGCATCACCTAAGTAGATGCCCTCTCCAGAGGAGGATGTGCACAGAGAATCGAAAAGAGCAAAGGACAAGATGGGGAGACGGTGACTGGATGAGTCTGAAGAGGAGCTGGGGAAGCATCTTCGGATCCAGGATGGTTTTCAGATAGTGGCCTCTGAATCATGCAACGTCTCCCTGGCTCCTTAGACAACCCTCAGAAATAAGTGATGGGACTCGCGAGTAAGAGAGACCAGATCATTAAGGGGCTCATTCTGAAATATTTTGTTTCTTCTGAAAGTTGATGAAAGTTCAAATGAAACTTTCAGCAGTTCATAGAGAATATTTTAACATCATATATTTACTTCTAATTAAACTCCAAAAAGAGATATTTCTAATATAATCTTATTAAATAACAAAGTCACGAAAACTTTGAAAGCTGAAGAATCTAAACCCCTCCTCCCATGCTTTCCTCTCAATATGGAACACTTTATATTGCCTCTAATTTGTGAATTGATTATTCTTCAAAATTCGCTTTTTAAGCCAGTAATTTGGAAACACCAGCAATGTGGCTTGGTTCCCAGTCCACCTTGCAAATGCATATTTGTCCCACAGTGTCCCTGAACCACATTATCAATAATTCCCTAAGCCTCAACTTATCGTAATGTGGTTTCTATGACAACCACCCTACTGGATGGTTTGCCCAGTTACTTGTCTCCTCTACAAGCTCCTTTAGGGCAGAAGATATGCTTTAATTACCTTTGTATCCTCAGCACCTAGCATCCCGCCAGGCTGACATATGGGAGATGCTCAACACATACATGTTAAGTGAATGAATGAAGAACAGAATTCTGAGCTCTCTTCTAGCCTTGTCAGTGGAAGAAGGGATTCTCTCCACTTCCTTACATAGGGAATTAGAAGGCTGCTGGGACATGCAGGGGGCATACGTGATGGGGGGCAGGGGCAGGTTGGAGAGAAAAGACACTTGAGGCTGTAAGGGGAGGGATGGCGGCTGTTGAGGTAACCCCTGGAGCCCAGGGAATGGAGAGGAGCTCAAGAAACACAGGAGCGGAAATGTACAAAACACATTTACAAGCCATTTGTAAGCTCTTGGGGGATAAGTTGGCGGATCTACACTACTGGTTGCTTGTTTACTCTACCCCTTCCTTCCTTGGGAAAGCCCAGATTTGGTCTCCATGGCCTCGTGCCATGAAAAGGGTACCCTGGGTCAAGCCTTGAAGGAATGGTCTTGATTCAGTTTTAGCTAAGGAGACATGAGAAGAAATCTGCTGGGGTCGGGGTGTAGTTCTGGGAGAAATTCTCTTGCTATTAAGAAGAGATAAGTAGGAAGAAACCATTCCCCTCCTCTGACTCTAGAAATCTTGCTGCAATTAGATGCTTGGAAGTGCCTGAGCTGTCTTGGGACAAGTGGAGGAGCCAATGCACAGAGGGTGGCAGAGAGGAACAAGAGACAGGATCTGGGTCTTCCATGATGTCAGTGAGCTCCTGGATTAGCCAATCTTAGACCCAGCCTAAGTCTGGCCTTGTTAGTGGAACAATAAGTCTCACTATTGTTTAAGCCCATTCGCAATCAGAGTTTCTGTGACTCAATAGTGGTTACAGTTTTATGCAGATCTGACCCTCCCTCCTAGTGATTCACCAATTTCACCAGGATCCAGCCTTATATGTGTGGAATGAACTAGACGTGTAAATTCCCCAAATGTGGATCCTTTGCTTTTTGGAATCAGCACCTATAATGAGTAAAAAATTTTGGCATATGCTTACTTTGAACGTACCAGTGAATTATTAGGCTCACATGCTGGCAGAGATACCTCACCCAAGTCGCCTTGCTACCCTAAATTGGAAAGTCAATAGTAAACGGACTCTATTCAAAGAAGCACTTGGAACCTGGCACTCAGTAAGAAGCTTGATTGCAGATGATATGATATTTAATTTGTAACACAAATATGTGTTTCCAGTTGGAGTAGAAGTCCCATATTAATTACAGATAGAATTGCTGACTTGGTTCACAGAATGTAGACAAGAAACACTCCTCATTCCTGACTCTAAAAAGTTAGGGTCAGAAAGGAGGGAGTGACACTGTTCACACCAGAATAGATTGTGTCTCTTAGGAAACTTTAAGGAGTCACAGAAGATAGTGACACCAAATACAAATCCAATTAACCCTTCTATTTGGCAGCTGATAGCTTTTCAGGATTCTATTTTATTTCTCCCCTCGTTCATTTTAAACGTTATTGACAAGACTTTGAAAAATCTATTAATTTGTTTTTATTCCCCTCCCACCGCATGTAGCGACCCCCTCCCTTCTCTCCTTGGAGCAGAGAGCAGGTTTGTGACAGAGCAGAAAGCATCAATTGCCTGTGAGATATTTTCCTTCTTGACTTTGATTTTCAAAAGCTTATGCCATTCATTAGTTTATTGGTGTGTGTGTCTGTGTGTGTGTATTTGGTGGTTGTGCTGGGGGAGGTCCTGTAAGGGAAATTTGAAGACAGTGGAATGTCCGTCAGACTAAAAGATTCCTGGAGATAGGAGGGAGGGACAGAGGTCTGTGGGTTCCTCAGCATCAGGAACCAGAGCCACGTCCATAGGAGTGCCCTACGGAGGCGACCAAATCTTCAAGGGTTTACCTTTTGGTGTGTCTGGGAAGACGGGACTCTAGGCATCCGCCTTGCCAAAGATCTCCATGCTTAAAGTGCCACAGGGAAAAACAGAGCCAGCAGGTCCTAAGGGACTGCACTGGCCAGGACAATGGGTATCTCACCAGTCACCAATGCAGTCCAGTGACTGATGACCAGAGAGCCTCCCCCACATCCTGGCACTAAGAGACCCTGGGCTTCCCAATGACCCTTGGGGTCAGGGGGTTCTGGGGCAGTCCAGTGTGCCTGGGGATCCATTTCCTTCTTGCTATGTAGGAAAAGGTGAAGTTGAAATTACATTGATTTAAATACATGAAAAAATTCAGTATCTCTTGCCACCTAGGTCTGTGGCCTGCGATTCACACCTGCGAATATTGACTATTTGGAGCCCATACTCAGTGAAATTTCTCTCTACTTGAAGTTAGTTGTGTCCACTTTTGGAATGTGCCAGAAACCCTTGACTCTAGATTTGTCTTAAAATCTCTTAAGTACAGCTGCTTTTGTGTGGAGGGGCATACCCTGCCTGCTTCCAGCACTGGAAACACTTCTTTAGGTTTGAGCACAGAAACATCAGATGCCACATTTAATTCTTGGTTGCAAGCAACAGAGGTCAGCCCCAGCTAACGCTTTCTAAGCTGGAATGCATTGGAAGGTCATCGAAAAGACCCCAGGATGGATGGGAGGACTGGAGAACAAGGCTTAGGAAATGCCCTGGAAACCCAGAAAGGATGGGCATGAGGACCTAGCCGAGGCCACGTCCCTGCTGCTGACCCACTGCTGCCCACAGGATGACGCCATCACCACAAGTGGCTTCTGAATTATCTTTGAATCTTGCTTCACTCCCTGATATTCAGAGTCCCGGAGAGGAGGGTCTGATTGGCTGGGCCTGGCTCCTGCACCGCCCCTGGATGTCTGGGGCAGGAGCGGGGATCGCCCGCCCTTGACAGGGTAGAGCACTGACCTCCCCAACACGACTCACACAGGGAACTCCCTCCAGATGGCAAGGGGGATGCTGAGCAGAGATTGAACGAACCAGACAAACGTCCACCATGTTCCCAACCCCTTAGGGAGAAGAAAGGGGGTCAAAGTTCTGAAAGCTCCAGCTTGAAATTAACTACGTTGGAGATGCATTCACCTTATTTCCTGGAATCCAGCGCTGTAAAAGCTTAGTGCAGGCTCATCGTTTCACTTCCAGATCAATTTGTAACCCATGGCCCTGATTCATGCATGTACTTGGCCCTGCTCTCTGGTCCTGGAATGCTTCTTCTGTTGATGTTAGATTACTGCAGCAAGTCCTTGGGCTCAGGGGCTGAAAGCCTTGCCAGGCACCTAAGTCAGAGCAACCTTTCACCTCCTCTCTCACCCCTGACCCCACCCTGATGCACACTGTCCTGTTGGTTTCCTAATAAAGCTAGGAGGAAGATCAACTTAAGGACCGTAGATTTAGGAGGCTATTTTTGTCTTCTTACTTACAGGCAGAACTAAATTCTCAGAAAAATAGGAATATGGCCTGTTTTTTAAGCTCTTCAGAAGTGGGAAAACGCTGTCCTTAATACATCCAACAGTAAATAAGACACAAGCTGTGTTTGAAGATTCCGTAGAAAACAGAGAACACTTGATAAAAACAGGAAAGGAGACGCTCACAGACTATCTCCAGATCCGTTCACGTGCACAGGAGGAAGCTGCCGAGGGCCTCACGACGATGCCGGGGCGTTTCAGCCCATCTGGGATGCTCCTGCTGCTTCTCCAGCTTCGAGCAATGGACGATGGACCCACTGAGCAGACAGCTGTGCTCCTTTCAGGTAGGAAAAGAGTCTTCTCGCACCTCTGGCAGCACTGAGGGAAACAGCCTCAGGGTCCGTGTCCGACCAAAGAGTCTCCTTTTTCTAGAGGTTCATCAGGATCCGGGAGCTGACAGAGACATGTGCTCTGGAAAAGGAAAACTAGATGCAGTCTGAGGGCACGTCACACCCACAGCTGTGCGCCAGAGAGGGTACAGAGTCTCAGAAAGAGCTTATGAGCCATAAATGACCAACGCTTAATAAACGCTTCTTAGCTACTTTCTTTCAAGAAGAACAAGTTGGGAAATTTTACACAGAGGCAAAATCTTCCCAATTCTTCTTGTTCTAATTTTCCTTAATTTGTTCACTTAGTTCACTGTATCTTTAAGGGTCTTACGGTGTTAGGTTGTCCTAAGGAAAGATGAAGTGCCCCCTATGCTGTGCCACCCTCCAGCATCCCTAACCCATGTGTAACTGAAGGTGCCAATTAGCAGGACCTGGAGAGTCACAGCACCGTGGCCTCAAAGTTGGCCACTGGCCAAGAAGAAACAGGTTCCAGCCGGCTGTACCTGAGGTTTTGAAAGCCACTGTACCCAACCCCAGGGTGCGGTGTGAAGCCTGGACAAGAACAGGCAAACTCCTGCTGAGCTCCGTGGCTGCGTGGGGCGAGCCTGCTCTGGGCTCACTCCCAGTTAGGCCCCGAAATGGGAAACCTGGGGCGGAGGTGAGAAGCCCAAAGGAAAACAGCAAATTTTAAAATTCTAAGGGCTCCGCTGAGACACAGAAGCCTGCGTCCCTCCCCGTCCCTTCCTCACTGCCCATCACACTGCTAAAGGCGTGTCTGCCTCACAGAGCAGCAAGTTTGTCAAAACTGAGGAGGAAAGTAAAGCTACGTATTTGTCTCCTGTTTCATCAGAGGCGAAGCTAAAGTAGAGTGTTTATAAGCATCATACAAGATATAAACTATTGAAGTTCCTCACAACGTCTTCCCAAATATGACTGACAACGGCTGAAGGTCGTGGAATGAGGCTTTTATATGACTCACATGTATTTCTTTCCGTTTCTTAGCTGTCACACTCATCCCATAATAAGAGGCTTTCTGGTCTATTATTACTTCAGGAACACTAACATTTCTCAAGGGACCTCCCTCCCCCAAGGAGTTTTTACTCTATCTCCAGAGAAGATAGCATTCTCAAAGAGTGAGTCAATTTATCAGGTTGGTTAAAGCGTAAATTCCTCGGCCATCGCTCTTTACCGGCCATCAGATCTGCATAGATTTGCAATGTTAGACCAAGTTGTACATCTGAAGGGAAGCCTTCCGCTGCTCAGAAGTTCCCAGGATGAGTTTTACAAGCAGTGACGAGACCCTCACACTTCCATGGCTTTTGGTATAAGTCGTTGGCTCTTGATCATGATACTTTAGCCTTCAGAAGAAAGTGAAAAATGATTTAGATTCCAAAATGGAAATGTAATATGTGAGTTCCACAAAATCTAGGTGCACCATATATTTTAATGTATAAAGATGCTCCTAAACTCCACCAGTGTTGCTTTTGTGCTCAGCAGATGGCCCAGCCTCCTGCTTCACTGAGAAGGGAGAGAGCATCAGGACCAAAGGCTCCCTCAACTTCTCTCCTCTCTACCTCCTAACTTGTCTTTTCACTCACCTCCTTCCTCCCAGACCCACCTGATGCCATCTCCACCACCCTGAAACCTCAGGCCACTCACAGGCCCCATTCTCTTCTTCAGTGCCTCCATCGCCACTAACTCCCCTTTTCCTCTGCTCCCCAAGAAACACAGTCAATGCTCTCTGCCCTGAAAAAACCTCTCAGTTCTACTTCTCGCTGCCAACCTCCTCGAATGCACTGTCCTCCTCTCTCTCCGCCAGTCATAAGACCTCACCCAACTGCCCTTGATACTAGCTTTTTGTCAGCTTGTGCCTTCTCCTTTGGATGTTCACATCTATTCTCATGGTTTCACATATTACTTATAAACCAATCATTTCAAAGATCTGTCTCTAGCCCTGAGGTCTCTTCTGAGTTCCAAACCATTTCTGAGTGCGTGAGGTACGAGAGGCACTGAATAAACAAGTCTAAACCCAAACTCATCGACTCAAACCTGAACCACCTCCCCCCCCCCCGAAAATGCCTGCCTTTTGTCAACCTAAGAGTTATTTTAAATATCAGAAATTCTATAAACAAGAAAAGACTACAGTTATAGCATATAACCCCAAAGATACAGAGTCGTACAGGGGAAATCTGTGACACCCATAAAATAAGCAAGCAAAAACACTGAAAAATAGCCTAAAGTATCATTGAATAGAGAAACCCCAAAGGAACACAGAAAAATTTATTAAAATAGTGAATTAAAGTAATGTCTTAGAGACAACTGGTGGAGATCAGGCATGTCTAACAATTAAGAAGTCATTAACTGATGGCACTCGCTTGGATTTAATTTGCTTAGGCCTACCATTTCCAACTGAAAAGATCAAAGGATATCATTACCTGCACTATGGCATCACTGTTGGCAAAGTGGATTTGCCTGTTGGATCTGCCCCACACAGCAGGAAAGTTTGCTTCTAGAAAAAGAGTAAATGTGGTTTGCAGCTTTCCATGCTCACTTAGGGTGAGCAGACACCATGGTAAGCAAGCCCTGGAAGCACCAGGGGGAAAAACCATAAGGAGAAGATGGATGTCAAAAATCTTCACTTATTCCATGTGCCAAACAAAGTTACACACATGGCAAATCACAGTCGCTTTGTACAAGTGACTCTGAGATATAAAAGAACTGGATTCCAATCAATATTCATCAGTTCCCAGCTCTAATGTGTATATTATTCAGTGACCTTTGGCAAATGACTTAAATATTCTGAGATGATTTTCAGATCTAAAAATTGACTGTCTCACAGTTAAAAATCACTCAACAAAATCAAGCTGAAGCTCCAGAGAGATAGTTAAGTGTTTGAAATTCTCAGTCCTGCCAACTGACTTGTAGAATGTTCAAATATAACTTTACAGTTGCCAAAAAATAGAATAACGTTAGCTTACATTTCTAGGAAATGTCAGATGAGGCAATTTGGAAAATCCACCTGCTGTGCCTGAGCCCGAATCTAAAACAATAAATGGTCCATTTTTCCCTGGAAGTTGAGTTCTACTGAATTAGTCTTGTTATAGGATGAAAGCCTGAAAGTAAACATGATGAATCACGCCTCCTGCCAGGCCCGCTTGTCGTGGCGCTAGCAGTGGCTCCTGCTCTCTTTCCAACCGGCTCTCATAAGGAGCCAAGCATCCGAAGGAAAGTGTGATCAACAGATGCTCGTTTCCATAATTGGCGCTTTTCCAGTAGCCAACCCCAAATTTAATTAGCCACTTATCTGAAGCAGAAAAGGATTTCTAAAGCATTCTAGTAATCTGTGCTCATTCTCTCCACCGGTCCATGCCCCAGCCCCACGTGCCTCCTCACCCAGAACTCTTTGAAGCATGCACATCAAGCACAGGACATGTGCTAATTTTTACTGTAAATAAACAATTCTCTAAAAGTGTTCATGAGATTATTCTACTAGGGATAAAGAATAATATTCCATTGACCTGAAGACCACATATGGCACATGGGAAAGACACTGGAAATGAAGCTGCACAAGTAACTCATTACTAGCAGGTCAGCGTTTTTCCTGGGTTAACTCACAACTCTTCTGTGGTGACCTACGCAGCGCTGGACTCCCTCCAACCTGCAGCCGTCCCTGGTGGTCCCAGAGGCTGCATTCGTTTAACACTGCAGAGCAGTACCCTCACTCTTATTGCTCTGCCGACATTGTATTCAATGAACTCTGTCACGGCTCCAAATCCCTTGGAACAAAGGAACTGTCTACACTTAGTCCTCTTGACATCTGCTATAAGATGGGGTTTCCAGGAACTCATGCGGTCACGTGACTCCACAATCACCTCAGGGGGCCCTGTGGTTCAGGGGGCTGTTGTCAAGCCGAAACAAAAGGTAAGAATACCGCTCGGGTTTTGGCAGATGGTGTGGGGAGGTTAGGCACAGCACTACCTGCTGTGGACACGTTCCCCTGCCTGTCCAGCATCCTTTGCCCTGTCTGCTGGGACAGAACTCCTCTTGGTGGTAGTGAACCATCCATCTGGTTCCATCAGCTGACCCTCCCCCAGCACACTCCAATTCCTCCAAGGACACAAGGACTGGGAGAAAGTTGGACCTGTGACCCAGGTCAGGCCAGAGAATTCTTTGAAATTCAGGTTCTCAGAAAAGGCTTTCTCCCTGGTCACTGAGCTAAAAGAATACGAGTCTTGCCCACCACTTGGACAGAATCTGTCTACCGGGTGGAGGTGGGGGCCTGCCCGTACCACACCACTGGAGCCCTGGATCCAGCCCTGCCTGGAGTCAAAATGAGCTTGGCCTTCACTTCCAGGAGCTAATCAAGTCCTGTTTTTGCTCAAGGTACATGGGATGTGGTTCTTTCCCTGACAGCTTCCTGACCAATAAACACCTAACCTCACCCCTCTCCAGCTTCTGCCTAGCTTATGTAGATGATTATTTCCTTCCTCTTGTGATGTTTGCCCAAAATTCTTGATATCCTCCCCTCTAGCCCTTTAAACTCGGGTCAATGGGGCTGGCCCGGTGGCACAGCAGTTAAGTTCGCACACTCCACTTCTTGCCGGGCTGGGGTTCACTGGTTCAGATCCTGGGTGCGGACATGGCACCGCTTGGCAAAAGCCATGCTGTGGTAGGCGTCCCATGTATAAAGTAGAGGAAGATGGGCATGGATGTTAGCTCAGGGCCAGTCTTCCTCAACAAGAAGAGGAGGATTGGCAGTAGTTAGCTCAGGGCTAATCTTCCTCAAAAATAAATAAATTAATTAATTAAATTAAAAAAAATAAACTCGGGTCAAAATCTAACCTTTAAAGAAACGCTTCCTATGTTAACCCACATCTCCCAAAGTCTTATTGTACGCCTCAATGCATGTATACATGGATACATTCCATCCCATAATCATATCCCAAGTGCTATTCCATGAGACCCATCCTTGCTGTAAAACTGTTCCTTAACCGAGAAGTTTTAATTGCTGGAAAAAATAAGAGGATTCTCATTTTAAAGTGTCCTACTTATTAAAAATGGGCTCCCATGGTGAAATGCAGTGAGGATCCAGTGTGTGTGTGTGTGTGTTTTTAATAAATGCTAATATTCGAAAGCTTATTGTGAGCCAGGCAGTGTGCTGAGCACCTTACACTTTTCGTTAATCCTTACAACAAAATTACGTGCTGGATACTTTCATCTCCCACTTTAAAGAATAAGCTTCAAGACCTTGAATAATCTGTTCAAGGTCACATAGCGGGTAAGCTGGAGGAGCTAGACTGACTGAATCCGGGGCCCTTCTTACCATCCCCGAGCCCCACTCGCACACCAGGGACTGGGCATCTGCCTTCTTGGAACGCCCCAGTGAGGCTTCGGTTGGAGTCACTCTGCATAAGTAGCTCTGTACCAGTGGGTCAGCATCTTACCTGGGTTAACTCACAACTCTTCTACGAGACCTACCCAGCCGCAGACTCCCTCCAACCTGCAGCCAGACCCCAGGTGGTCCCAGCGGCTGCATTCATTTAATACTGCTGAGCATCACTAAATGATTTGTTTTATTAATAGTGTTAATATCTTTTTTTAGACTTAAGTGAAATATGTTTGGTAATTTTGCTTCCTGGTCCACAGCAATTCTAAAGGAATGAAAACTTGGAAGTGACTGTGAGGTGGAGGTTGACCCCAGCAACAGTGATAGATGGCTGTAGAGTCAGGAGGAGCCTGAAACACTGCTACAGGAAGACACAGGAGCTCTAGATGTGCCCAGAGTCCGCCCTTCCATGGCTCTTCCTTGCCTGATTCACAGACAGCCCTCAGAGCAAGGAGCCGTCCTGTGGGCTCTCAAGGACAGCACCATCACAGGAAGTGGGTCCTCCCGGGCACTGGTGGCAGCCGCTAGCCCTGTAGAGTTGGCAAACGTGAACCTATTAAGAAGCTCACATGGGGATTACGTAGCTATTCTTTTACAACACGCAATCATCAAACTACCTCTACAAATTTCTAAATGCATCTTGATTCTTCCCTAGGTGGTAGTTTTGAGGCCAGGAATCGCTGATAAATCCGACTTCGTAATGGGTCACATTAGTGCTCGATGCCCAAATGTCCTTATTACACAGATAATAAATCCTCTTTCTTTCTGCGATGAACCAGTTGTACATCCCTATTTTAAACACTGTCTAAATTTGTAAATGTTTTATTTTAGATACCACTCCAGAGAAATTGTCCCCTGAGACTTGAGCGTCTTACTCAGAGAAGGGCACCACAGTCCCTTCATCAGCACCCCACACTTTTCCTTTCCACAAATTCAAGTAGACTAGAATGTGAATGAGAAGAGCGGGGAGAGCATCGTAGAAACAGACACACTGATGGGGCGAGTGGGGAGAGAAAGTCAAGGAGAGAGGAAGTCTATACGAAAAGTGAGCCTACCAAAGAGTTGGCTAAAAATGGAAAATGGTTATCTCAGGAGAGAAGGAAATCTCCCCCAGACACCCCACCACTATCTCTACTCCACACATGTGAGTGATATTTTTTGTACCAAACTCTGTAGAACTTTGGTAGCCAGCCTCCAAGGTGACCCCAGTGATTCACACTCTTGTGTAGTCCCCTCCCACAATGAACAGGCCTGACCTGAGTAACCAACCGCGTACTGTGCAAACGACGGGACGTGACTTTTGAGGCTAGGTCATAAAGGACAGCGTGGCTGCCACGCTGTCTCTCTAGGACCAGTGGATCTGAGGGAGGCCAGCGGTCGTGCCATGAAGACACACGGCAGCCCTGTGTACCACGCGGTGAGGAACTGAGGCCTCCTGCCAACGTCCGGCACCAACTTGCCGATGATGAGAATGAGCCACTTCACAAGCGGATGCTCTGGCCCCAGTCAAGTCTTCTGCTGTCTGCAGCACCGGCCAACCTCTTGACTGCAGCTCTGGAAGACCCTGAGAGACCCCAGAATCACCCAACTAAGCTTGTCCCAAATTCTTGGCCCACAGACTATGAGATAATCAATGTTTATCATTGTTTTAAGCCATTGAATTTTAGAGTAATTTGTTATACAGCAATAGATAACCAATACAAAAACAATTTAACTCTACACTATATGCTCAGGTAACTTTATTTTAAAAATCCAAATCTGTTCTATGATAATATTTTCATTTATTTTCTGGAATCCTTAACCAATATCAAAATTCAAGACTATGGATGAAACAACGGGTCATAAGGTCAGCTTGTATACATGAAAATCAACCCTCCGTAGACGTTGTTCTGACACATCAGTACTTAAACCCCAAGAGAATGATGAAACGAGAACCCTTCATTCAGGCCTTCAGTCTCATCTTTAATGATTTATTTTAGCTTCAGCCTAGCCAAGGATGCATCTGTAAAAGTGTGTGTGTGTATTGGGGACGGGGCGGGGTAGGGGGAGGATACATACATGCTTGTGTGTCCCTAATTGGAGAGAAAAGATCAGGGTTTAAAAGTATAAAAGCAATACGTTCATTGAAGAAAATTACAATATGGGTAGAAAAAAACTGCTTGAAGTTCAAGCTCTAACAGAACCTATTGAGACCCTTGCCGTCTTTTTGCCCACCCAGGCTGCTCCTTCTGCGCAGCACTAGGAGTTCTGGATAAATGGCGAAAGATGGATCAATGTCAAGCCCGGCCTTGACTACCCTAGCAAAAGCTTTGCTACGCTACTTTTTTTCTTTTAAGATTCATTCTCAAAGGTACAGAAATGAGTTATAAAAATGTACGTGTGTATAAATACGTATAAAGTGCACTTTAGTGAAATACTTAACAAGCATTTCTCAGCACTTCCTGTGTATACCACACCAGAGCAGCTGTTTCCGGGAATCCTGAAGAAGAGAGTTTCCGCCCGTAGAGTCTAAATCTTACTTTAGACCACTATTCAGCCAACACCAGAACTCATTTGTTTCATTGTGAGCAAGTGGCCACGTTGTTCTGATCATTTGATATATAGATGATTTTCTAAAAATTTAGATCCTCCATTATTCTATATTGAACAGACTCTGTATGTATATTAAAAAAAAAAATTCTAGTTTTCACCTCACTGCTGGAGACAGGAAATACCAAGCTGATTTAAATAGAATCAGGTCAGATGCTTCTGTCTTCAGCTAATAATGAGAAAAACTATTAGTTCAGGGCCTACTTTGTACCTAGCATTTTACATAGATTATCTTTAATCCTTTCAACAGCCTCAGAAGGTGATAGTAACCCCATTTTACAGATAAGGAACTCGTGGTTCAAAGGAGTTAAGTAACACGCCTAAGGTCACCCAGCTTGTGGGTTCTGGGCCTCCACTGGCAGCTCATCCACAGCTCCAAGCCTTTGTGCTTTTCATAGCACCACCCACCCCATTAGACAGGGCTCTCACTTTCCATCTGATCCCCAGGCCTCCTGTTTCCTGCACCAAAACAGCTTCACAGGTCTTTGTCCTCTCATAAGGAAGCGACACAGCTCAGGAGGAGCAGGGAGTTGAGGTCTGGGGGAGAAGGGAGGAGGGTGGTGCTGGGGTCAGAGAGAGAGGGTGGATAATCCCAGTGCCATATCTCAGCCTTTTCCACAGATAGAAGTAGAAGCCACACACCTTGCCCAGAACTTTTTTTCTTTAGGAAGATTGGCCCTGAGCTAACATCTGTGCCCATCTTCCTCTATTTTATATGTTGGATGCCACCACAGCATGGCTTGGTGAGTGGTGTGTAGGTCCGAGCCTGGGATCCGAAGCGGAGTACATGAGTTTAACCACTACACCACCAGGCCAGCCCCCTGCCGAGAACTTCTAATTGTTAAAAATTCATAAGTGCTTCCTGAAAAGGGAGGGGAAAGTTTTACTCAGAAGAGTTAATATAGTCACAGAACAGACCAGTTACAGTAACTTAATCTCTTTCATTTTTTCAGATGCTTATTTCCTGGGCCAGCAATTTTTATTTGCTTACAGAGTCACAGGTTGATTTCTTCCCATTAGAAACTATCTTTTCCTTGGTGTTCGGTACCTTACACTTCCTTCTCTGTTGCTGGAATGAGGGGTTTAAATGTCCCCATTCTGACCCAGTGTCATTAACTGCTCAGATCCCACAGACAGCCGCAGAGCACCCCCACGCCAGACACTGTTCTTGGAGATCGGAGGCACTTTATCTCTTGAACGCAACTTCCTGTCTGGCAGATATTGAGCTTGGCGCCTATCCTTCACACGCAACTTCTCCAGGCAGTGACTTATTTCACTAGTTGTTTCTGGACACCAACCTATCACCAGGCTAGTAAGTAGTCAGTAGCTGCTACTCTGCTGGTTTGCCTGCAGGTCCAGGGAGTAAATGAAGAAAATAACTAACGCTCACCCAGAGCTTAAGGCAGGCCAGGCACAGTTCAAAGTGCCTTACATTCGTTAACCCATTTACTCCAAGACCAGCCCTTCTACAGAAGAAGAAACTGAGGCGCAGAGAATTTAAGAAATCGCCCAGGCGCACACAGCTTGTAGAGCCATGATCTGAACCCAGGCGGCTGGGCTCCAGGTCCGCATTCTCGAACACTGTGCTACACTGGCCCTTGCAGGATGAGGTTAATGGTAGCCCAGGAGTGTTGCTATTC